TACAAATGTATAACTTGGAAAATTACCATATTCAGATAATTGAAAAATACTAACTATCTTTCAACACGTCCTATTTATACTGAACGATAGTTTCTAATTTCTTATGTGAAATTTATAAAGATCAACCCTTACTGGAATAGTCGTTTCATACTATATAAACAGAAAAGAGACACTAACATGACATTTTATCTAAAGTATGGTATTCATAATTGAATTCTGAATAAAATCCTTTATAAAAATCAAATACATTTGATAGCGAAATTATTCTCGATCGATCAATCACGCTGTTAATTTTTATTTCACTTAGTCTAAGTTTTCCTATGATTATATACCTTTGGGATTTTGAAATTATGCGATCTTTAAGTGATACAAATGAATATTCTCTTCGTTCATAGTTTGCTGTCATCTTTTGAGCGATTGTGGATGCATTTCTTATTGGTTGATCGTGTAAACAAATAGTTCGTTTTTCATTGCTGTCATCAATTACATAACAGTATTGCACTTTATATATAGCTGATGGGCTGAAAGTTTTGGGTAAAAATGTTTGTTTATTTTTGATTATTTTTGAAAATGTTTCGAAGGAGTCAAAAGCTATGGGCTATGATCAAAATGTTGTGCTTCTTCCGAATGTAGGCTTAGAAATTAACATTTTGATCAAAAGGTGTTTTGGATAGAAAGGAGCTCTTGGCAAAGTACCTATAGTTTCGCTTACATAAAAGCTAAAGGTTAGTTCAACATAACATTTTGTAAAGAAGTGTCTACTCAACAAAACAACCGGCTCCAATATTTTTTGGTACCTTCGAAAAGAAACTTAACGAATAAAAATTGAGATGAAATTTCTAAGGTCATATTCAGAAAGTGCACAATATACTGGTCCTAATCCATAGCTTTTGAATCCTTGGAAATACTTTCAAGGAAACCAAAAATAAACAAATATATTGTCTCAAAACTTTCGGCTCACCCGTTCGAAGTATCCTATCATCCGTTGCATCAAACTCAATAATAATAATGCATACTATAGGTTATAATACTCGAATTCATACATAGTTTTTTCTAGAGAATAATGGGAGAACGTTGGTATCATCTTCCTATTGGATTGTGTTTCTATTTACCTTTTCAACTCTTTTACCGCTTATTTTGCATGATATGTGCATTGATTTATTTGTTACTATTCTGTCTTCGTCAACCAATTAGTTCATGTTTCCGAACGCGATATGCCAAAGATGCTTTACCTACACTGATTACTATTCGATTTTCTCATTATTGTGAAAAAGCACGATGGGCACTCGATCTTCTACAACATGCAGCATCTCATAAATCTACTCAAGAACAACTGGAAAGGATAGAGAATGATTCGCATCGTTATATAGAACATTCGCGTTCGATTCTTACTCATATGATCTCATCGCTATGGCACACTAGTGGATTTTCATCAAGTACACCAGTGTATATAACGCGAGATAAACATGTACTAAAAGATTCTTCTGATATTTTGCATTACGTTAGTGATGAATTGTGTAAACTAGGAAAACCAACACTTTATCCAACTGCTGAAGTAGAAGAATTAGAAAATTATTTTAATCAGATACTTGGTGTACATGTACGTCGCTATGGTTATTGGCTAATGTTTCAGACAGATGACATGGAGGACGAATTGCGAAATTGCTGGTTGCGTGATACAGTAGGATTGGAAAAATGGACTCAACAACATTTTTTTGGTCCAATCAAAGCATTAGCAACAAAAGGAATGAATATTCAGGAACAACCTAGTCTGATTTCAAAACAACATATTGATGAAGTTTTTGAGAAAGTCAATCAGATGTTAGAAGAACATGATGGATTGTATCTTTTCAAAACGACTTATCCGACAGCAGCCGATCTTACTTTTGCTTCTCTAGCCTATCCGATGATTTTTCCTTCACAATGTGATGAATTGATTATTAAGTATGAGCCGAATATTATGAGTCGTCAAATGTATGAGCAAGTTACCGCTTATCGTGAACAACGAGCAGGAAAACTCGTATTACGAATGTATGAGCAAGATAGAGTTGTTAATCGAATACAGCCAAATCATATTTAAAGGTTTAACACATTATTATCAGTCCTGTTTTTCATAATATGTCCATATTATTGTTTTTTTCATGAGTTTGACAAATTATTGTCTGATTTCAAAAACACATTCTGATTACGATTTTTATATTACTCATTTTTTAGATTGTGTATTCCTAATAAACAAACCAAATCAGTTATTACTGGTCTAGAGATGTGTGGGACCAAGTTTTTTTGATCCTAGTTATTGAGCTGGATAAGATACTGATTTGTCATATAAAGAAGAGTTATTGAGTTTGTATACATAATTAATGTGCTTGGAAGTGTGCACTAATTTGATTGTGTTGATTGACTTGAATTTGAAGTCATTGTCGTACAAATTTTATTTTATTATCTGTATCTATGGTTGAAATTCAGCAATAAAAATTCGAAACAATATTATTCATCAATACAATCAGATTTAGAAAAGTCTCTTACGGCTGAGTTTTACATCTTTATTATCAACTCATTTTGCCCTCATCCACACCTTTGGGGCGTCCTCCCTGACCAAAAAGTGCTTTCGACGAAGTATGTTTCGGCGAAGAGCATATATACCAGCTAATCATTTTATTGAGAGGTTGTGTGAAAAAATAAAACAAAGAAAAATAAATCACGAGATTATTCTAATTCATAGTTAATGATTTTAAGCAGGCATTGAATAGTTTCAATGTGAGATTTCATTTCACTTGTTCAGTACTAGGTTTGCTCAATCATAGAACGTAATTTTTGCATCAAAGTGGATGACTGAGCGCTTGCTGGTAGTTTGAGAATCTTCTCTCTCTGTCCAATCATATTTCTGTAAGCTGTTTCCAAGTTTAGCATATGTTGTTGAATATGTATGCCATTAATTGGCAATGTACCTATCTCGTCCAACAACTTTAAAATACTATCCATTTGTGATGCGAAATCTGTCGTGCGAACATCGAAAAACACTGTTTGTTCATCGATATTGATTGTCAATAGTTTTTTCAAATCATTATATTCGGCAATCATATTCGCATAAAGTTGAATGCTTTCTGAATACCATTGATCTGAATACCCTGGAAAACTTTCACGAAGTTTGTAAATCTCGTTATTAAACGGAAGAATGGTATTGGTTTTTTATAAATTGTGACAGTCGAATACAAGCATCATGTACGAATACTTTTTCAAGATTCCAATAAACACTAGGAGTATTGGTTGTCACTCCAGATAATTGAGATGAAAATTCATTTCTAACGAGTCTTGCAAATCGGTACGTCAGCTGTCGAACTATATATAAGAAAACAATTTCACGTATGGGTATTGACCTACAAAAGAGAATATTTGAGATCAAATGAAATAATGCGCTTGTCACTATAGTCCAACTTGTTCCGTAATCAGAAAAAAAAGTTCTTGTGAGTTCTCTATGACTTTTGTATAAAGCTAAAAAGTGGAAGTCTTCATTGTCCAGCAGGCAACAATTTTGGTGTGTGAATTCGTAATCGATACTAACTACATCTTTGAATAGTTCTCTAAGTTGAAATAGCATTCTACCAGGCTTGAAAAAGGTCTCTCTAGCGTTGGTGAACAGCCACATGATGTTTTGATGGGCGCTGATAGGCAAATGGGAGAGTAACTCTTTAATCCAATACTCAGATCTAGCATACCATCTGCATACATCTGATGGCAATAATATGCAAATACCATTTAAATATTTATATTGGCTAATGTACATAAAAATATGTTCCGTATTTTTTTATGTATTCAGACATTTTATCATTGTCCCAGATCGACGGTGTGTCGATAAGGCGTAGTAATCGATTATTAAGAGTAAAGTTATAAGTTTGACAGCCCTGAGTATTTCTTATCTGAGGATCATAACACAATATATTTTCATTTGGAGCACCGAATGCAATATTGACTTCTTTAAATGTCGTTGAGTCGATATAGGAAAACTCAAATGGTTTTAGTACTTGTATTTCACCCCGGAGCACCGCATCAAGTGTATCGTAGACAAGATAATTTGCCAATGCATTAATAAATGTCTTTTTCCCATGGCCGGCTTCACTCAACAACAAAATATTAATATCAATGGATGATGCATTAGAGTGAATTGACTCAGATATAATAGTTTTCAACCACGCTGTTGAATACCGTCCTACAAAAATTCGTCAGCTCGTTCAAAGATATTTCGTCATATGTATTTAAACCAAAAGTTAATTTCTAGTTTGCAGGAAAGCATGGTTCATATTGTCGCACAAATCAATTAGCATCTATTTAACTGACAACTATAGAATAATTATCTGATTCTCAGGCATCTGGCGCACAGAGAAAACTTTATTAAAATTCCCATTGAACAGATCAATAGATTACGTTGAGAAAAAAAGGCAACATCTGATCTGATCACAACACAAAAACAATAATCATAGAATAAGTTCGATTTTGAAATTTCTATGACTTTTATCTATTACTTTTGATCTAGTAATCTATGAAGATTAGCGAATGCTAAAAATTCCAGATATCAATTTTTTCATGTTCAATATCCTGATACAAAAAGAAATATCTATCCTTTTTGTTGAACTCCAATATATCAAATCTAAATCTTCCTTATCGAATCAACAAACGGCCATCGAAATGACGTTTCTGTGTTCAAAAAACAATAAAAGCAGGAAAAATCAAATTGAAAAGTGTGAATATAAGACTGCGAAACTCTGTGATATTTGCTAACGAAGGAAAATTTTTCTATAATGAATTATGAATCTGTTGTTCTGAGAGGAACGATGTAAAATCTTGCACCGATTCTCAAATAACTCTTAAATTACAATTTTCTAGAAAATCAAAATTTTAACTTTTTGAATTATTTTTATAATGACAGAAATGACCAAGCTTTAAAAGAAAATATAGTTGCCTTGACTTTTATTTGTTACTAAGCAGATTTTCTCTGCGAGTGAACTTATTCGATATGACAATTGAAAACCATCTGTCTTCAAGTTTACATTACAAGCAACATTCCTCATTATATCTTCAATATCTTAATTGGGTTTTGAAATATACTTTAACAAGTTTTCAATGAAAATACCATTTTTATCATTTAAAGTTTCTTCCATTGCCTCTTTACCCGGAGCACAAGTAAATACAATGAGAGTTTTTTGGCGATACATTCATAGATGATAAACCTTGATTCATATCCTTTGCTCGAGTTTTTATCAATTTTCTGCAACAATAAAATATATAGATTGTTGCATAATACAGTCTATCGTCTATTGTCTTCATGATATATTGTACATTAATGGTATGATTTGTAATGTAGTCACGTTCATGGCTTCGAAAATTATAATCATAATCTGATGGTAATAAATAATTTTCATTTTTCATTTGTTTACCATGACCACCAAAATAAAATAATACTAAATCATCACGTTCAATTGTTTCAGCGAATTTATTAATTATCTCGTAGAATTTATTACAATGACAATTCAATTCTAAGGTTATATCGAAGCTAATACATCAAAGAATTGTACTTAAATCTTCAGCATCATTAATACAGTATTGTAATGTATCACGTCAATATTTATTGATACCGATGATTAATGTACGCTTTTGTTGATAAACAATAGACGATGCCATTAGATCTAAAATATATCCGCAAATGTTATGAGAAGAAAAATGTGTTTGTTTTGTGCTTTAATATATAAATTGCTTTTATTGCATTTGTGGAAGATTAAGTAAAAAGATAATGACGAAATATGTCCCAAAATCGGTAGAATAAAGCATTCTTTCTATGATTAGCAAGAACAGCCACATCGTATTATAATTACACAGCGATGACACTAACAGTTTTGATCATATAATTCATCGATCAAATTTTTGGGAAATATTTTTCTTACTATTCAATATTCATTTACTTGTAAAAAAGAAAGATCTACTGTTTGATTTATATGGTCATTTAGAATTAACCAACGATAAAAGAAGTTGTGTTTGCCATGTGCGCAAACTTCTGTTATTTTTTCATTTTGACGACGCTGGCTTGAATCAACATAGTTTTTATCGATGTAGTGTCATAAAGTTTCAAGACAATGCTCACAACAGTGACTCACTTAACATGTTTCTTTGTTCTGTTCTCCACGGACTTTTGTTACTCGCTTGATAGAAGTAAAAAAAAAGAGCATGACAGAGAAAAAACAAACTATTATTTATTTTCGTTAATGGCTCATACAGTTGTTTTTTTCCAATTTAAAAACTCTTTATAAGAGCAAAGAAAATATTTTTTTGATCTGCTACAAAGTTTCACATTGAATTAAAAACTCAGACCATGTCGCTAGATTCTGATACGAATGACAATGAAACGATCTTGGCTGCAGCATTTTCAGCAATATTAGGCAAAGAAATTCTACCTGAATCGAATGTGCCACAACAAACACAACAGCATATAAACAAAATTTCCATATTTGATCAACATCTGACATGTTTTGTCTACGGAAAAGTTGGTAAACAAGATACAAATAAAGATGAATCATTTATGACAATATATATCACAATTCTAACAACGAAAACTTCCTTTCCTTGTACAATTGAATGTGATGCAAGTGTCGATAAACTGAAACAAATAATTTATGAGAAAGAAGGTATATTACGCAATAAACAAAATTTAATTTATTGTGGACAAGAAATTGATGAAGGTCATCTATTGAGTGAATATGATATTCAAGAATCTAGTGAAATAACTGTCGTACGTTTGAGAGCTATGAATTCAGATGATTTGTTAGTCTTAGATAAAACTGCATTAGATTCCAGCTATGATTATGATTTTACTAATATTAATGATAACGGGAAAAGATTTACTCGTGGTGGAATTGAATATCATCGACCATGTGGATGGAAACGTTATGCATTTAAAGTGACTGGAAAATATGAAAATGAAATCTGGCTTGGCTCGAACAATAGTTCTGATGAATGGCCTGTATCATATCATGGAACAAAACATGACGCAGTAAATTCAATTGCACAGATCGGTTATGATCTAACAAAACA